CCCACCCCTACCGGATTATGCCATAGCAAAAATGAAGGCACACAGTTAGCTATTTGATATGTACATGTTCTTAAGTAATAAAAACTTACCAATAGCTAGACTGATACATGTCCTTTAAAGATTACAAAAAAGCGACACTCTTCTTCGAAATCAAAGCCAGTCAAATTTACTGTTAGACTACAGCGCAAGATTGTTTTGATTGTACATCAAAGGATCAAACTAGTCTTCCTGTTTCATCCACAATGTGGCACACATGTGCACTGAGCCTTTGATTTTGCTATGACATATTCCAGGGATGCAGAGAGAGAAAGTGAGGTAACCCCTGGAGTATTGAGGATGGCTGGCCTACTGCTGAGGCTCTTTGATTGACAAGTAAAATATTGACAAATAAAATATGCTTGAATCTAGTTCAGATTTTGTATATATATATCACTCATTGAAATGTTTTTGTTAATGCAGGTGAAAAATCTAGACATCAAGACCCCAGAAAACAAAGCAGTCAGCAGTGCTACAGCATCTACTACAAACAACAAAACAACAGAACCTGATCCTGCAGTCAGTAAAACAACAGCACCTACACAAACAGGCAGCGGCGATAGCCCAGCAACCAACAGCACTGACACAGCTGTCCTTGATAACAACAACTCTTCAAAAACAGACGGTGATAAACCAAGTAGTCTTAATCCAAGTAGTCCTACACCTCAAGGTTAGGATCAATCTTGCCAAGAATGCATTTCGATCTCTTCCATTTCATGTTTTACTTAACCCTTTCACCACTGTAGACCATAATATTGGGCTCATTCAGATCAAAGCATGGTAGAGTCTGCTAAAGTTACATAGGGGTGAAAGGGTTAATTTCCCAAAACAAGCTTTGGCTCTTAAGTTTGAAAGACAGATCTCTCAAATCTTCGTGGAACATGCTGTTAACATCTTAAATCGTAAATTGTTATGGGTCATTGCATTTGGAAAACTCCGCTATATGAAACATTTATATAACTGTTCGAATCATCAGGTCAAATTTAGGAAGACAAGCGGTATGCGAAAAGATGATATTGATCAAAACATCATTCCGGAGTTAAAAAGTAACTGTACACTCATAGACAATCACCATGAAAAACACAGTAGGTCTTTGGCAATCATTTACGTCATGGACCAAGTTGTGTTTTAAAGCGAGCTATTTTCCTACGATGATTATTATTCAATGGCAAGTATACATGTGCTGTGTAGTAGCTATAGTGAACATGAGGGAAAAAGTGGCCCGAAAATTTGTTTTCTTTTGATATCCCCTCGCAATGAAATTTTGAGGGATTCAGCCCGTATGTATGTGACACTCTTTGTCACTGCTCTAGCAACTTCATTTCTCAACAAAATTTCATGAATCTTCATGTAAGTGTTTGATATGGCAATTAATTAATGCCTTGAACAAGTTCACACTTCGGGTTTCTATGTTAAAGGTCAAGGTCACTAATTATTTTAGAAAACACAAACTACACGATAAATATCTATTATCCATCGAAGAATGCAAACACTAGAGCAGATACTGATACATCATTGAATTTTCTATTCATTTCCTCTTACATATAAATCTGTCACACAATGTGTGAATGTATCACTTGTGATGCCTTGTATTTTCGTTATTTCCTGTTACTAGTACTAAGTGAAACTAAGTAGAATATTCTTGGCTAAAGTTTGGGCAATGAAAACTTCAATGGGTCTAAAAGACTGTCATTATGGTGTGTTGCAGCACAAGATCAATACATTGTTATAATTTCAGCTGTGGATACGGGCAAAGAAGAACCAATGAGTAAACTAGTGCGGTCGAAACTTATAACATCAGTCCATGCGGACCTGGAGATTCTACAGGCCGACCCCAACTCACCACTCTTTAGTGTCAAATCTTTTGAAGCATTAAACTTGTAAGTTTATGTTTAAGGCTGACCCTGAGGACTGTTTCATATAAAATGTTTTAGGATGTATGTGTTGTTTGTAGGAACTTATTATTTGACCATATCACCTAAAGATTTCTTTTTTTTTCTTTTGCACTTTTTCGTTTCTGCTTTGGAAGTCAATTTTTATATTCTGGCCATAGCAAACACATAACTTTGCATCAATTATATTTCACTGGCAAACTGAGATTCACCTGTTTGATAGGACTTAATCATGAAGCCCTATCAAACAGATGTATCTCAGTTTGCCAGTGAAATTAAGTTAATGTAAGATATGTACTTATATATATACATGTAGATGGCTTATATTTTTCAGCTTACATACTTAATTTGTTTATTTGAATAATTAAAATAATAAATTAGCTACTGTATATTGGGATTTGTTTTACTGCAGCTTAGTTTTCCCCTTTTTTGCCCTCCGTAATTAGGGCTCATTTATCATTACATCGAACATTTGTAAACAAGATAATATGCATACTGTAGTTATTATGTGTGAATGGCGAACATTGAATTTTAACTGTAAAGGGCGAAAAAATTAAACTGGACGAAAATTTCCCGATATTTAGTATTCAGATCCAGGGACATCTTTTATACATTAAATCTACTTATANCCCCCTCCTTTGCCCCTAATGTACCAAGTCAATATGATGTGTAAAATGACTTGCATTTGAAGCTGAGATTGGACTTGCACACAAAAAGGTAACTTACATTGATGCCCTTGTCTATAGAACACCAAGAGACTTAACCAGATTTTACAATCAGTTTAGCACTAGGTGGATCTCTGAAATATGTATTATATATATCTCTCATATTAGCTGAAACAATGATGTTTTTTTCCTTATGTGTTTTAGAAAGAAGGAGCTGTTACAAGGATTGTATGATATGAAATTTAATGCTCCATCAAAGATTCAAGAAACAGCTCTGCCTAGCTTACTGGCTGATCCGTAAGTGTGACATTGCATTGGAGAAAAAATACCTGGTAGAGATTGCAGTCATTCAGTAAGAGTGTTCCCAGAAACCCCCAAAATGAGTGAATTGTAACACCAAAGCAGTTTATTGTGTAGCAGAGCTGGACTAGGTTATTCCCTAGAAACCAGGTAGTTCATTTGCATTGGTAGAGTGTCCATCTGGAGTTTGGATGGTCCAGGTTAAAATCCGGTCCTGTCCATGCATTTCATTTCTGTTGTTATAGTCGTGCCTGGGTTGTAAATAGTGATGTCTTCGTAGACAAAGACTCGAAAAAGGAGGGAGACATGTAGCGGAACTAGACTGGGTCAATCGCTGGGAATCGTGTAGCCTCAATAGGTAGAGCGTCCGTCTAGAGTTTGGATGGTCCAAGGTTCAAATCCCGATCTGGCCACACATTTTTCCTCTCCTATTACAGTTTTGCCTCTAGTTTTCAATGACTGCTCTGTGAAATTTAGGTCAGAATCTTGAAAATGTATCACCACCAAATAGAAACTTTTAGCAGAAACATTGAATAAGTAATGTCTTCCACACAACATCACTAATTTATAATTTAAAAAAAAGTACTTCAACCAAAAGTTCAGAAATAGTGTTTTGGAATTAGTTCATTTGTATGATATGACAGTTTGAAAACGATGGCTGATTTGTTTGTTACATTAGGTATGTTTTTGTATGGTGAACTTAATAGCTATTAGTTTGTTTGTAACAATGAACAATGAACATTGTAGCTGATTTGTTTGTACAGTACTGTTTGTAACATAGTCTGATGTTTAGGAAACATGACCCAAAAGAACATATTCTGCAGGGAAGGCAACATTTTCTAACAATAGTTGAGTTTCACTAACAAGTATATCTGATGTTATAGTCCAGTAAACATGATAGCCCAGAGCCAGAGTGGAACAGGCAAGACAGCAGCCTTTGTGCTGACCATGCTGAGTCGTGTAGATACAAACAAACCCTACCCACAGGTACTTCCTCTGATGTAATCTATTATAAGATTTATAATTTACAATTTTCAATGTTTGTTGCTTGACGAAATATTGAATAGTCCAGTTTAAATTGGAAATCTAGCAGTCAGCTGAATACAGGGAGAATTAAAAGGAATCTTTATTTGATCAGATATTAACATAATGACTTTATCCCCTTATAAAGATTTTTCTGCCTGGTCAGATAGTTATTTGTAATTTACATTGTAGACGTGTATTAACTGATATCCTCCATTGAGCGTGGTCTTACTGCTATGCTATCTTGCCAACTTATTTAAGAGAAGTTTTTATGGTCAGAAATGTGAACATCCTGTTGCTATTTATAATTGTCTGCTCCTGTTTCAGTGCCTTTGTTTAGCACCGACGTATGAGCTAGCGTTACAAATCGGAGAGAACATAGAACAGATGTCAAAACACATGACAAACTTCACCCTGGTTTACGCTGTAAGAGGAGAGAGAGGTAAGGCCGAAATAGTAATTGGTTTTTTTTTTGCATTAAGGATTATTGAATGTAGTTAGGTAATTAGGAGTAAAGATTTGGCTTGTACATGTACCGATAGATTCAATCAAAAGCTCATTAATTGTTATATGATCAGAACGAGACTCTATCTCCATTATTTGGCAGTAAAAACATAAACAGGTCTTTTCTATTCATTTATGAAATAAAGATGGACCTAGTAATCTGATACTGCTTTAAGTTGAGCCCTGACAAAGCCTTGAAATGTTGGCATAAACATTCTGGCAGGTCTGCCAGGATTTAACACTGAAATGTTACTTTTCAAAACAGACAAACCGGTTGTTCTGCATAAACCAACAGACTCTAGGTTGTGGGTGATGAATATGATAAATAATCTGTGTAGTCTTTTATTTAAATCAAGCTCTATAATCTCTATAATTATTTCATATTTCTTTAGTTGCCAGAGGACAAAAAGTTCAAGGTCACATCATCATTGGTACCCCAGGAACAGTTGCTGACTGGTCACTCAAATTTAAAAGCTTTGACCTGAAGAAGATCGATGTGTTTTGTTTAGATGAGGCTGATGTCATGATTGCCACTCAAGGTCATCAGGACCAGTCAATTAGGATACAAAGGTAGGTCAAGGTCATTCAAATATTACAAATTCTTTCAAAACAACAGGAAACAAAAATGTTTGAATATGATATTAAGTTCATCTTAAGAGTTCGCTGAAATCACAGGGATAAGGGGATTTGAATAGTATTTCAAGTTCATTTAAAGAGTATATCAAGGTCATAAGAGTATATCAAGTTCCCTTGAATACTGCATACTAGGAAACTTTTTCCTGTCAAATATTTATTGTTCATCTGTTAGATTCAATGCTTGCACTATTTCAGTTTCCCCCTGTATGTGTAACCACTGTACTGTATACTTATAATGGCAGAGGGTGAGAGGGGCAAAAATTGAAATAAACTGTAGAAAAACTTTCCCAGTATACAGTATCGAGATGACCTAGATATGCAGATCAATGTTCAATGAAGAGTATGTCAAGGTCATTCGAATAGTATATCCAGGTAAGCTATATTTTCCAGACTTTTTCAGATTTCGATACATCTGGGATGAACTTGATATACTTTCTGTGAGTTCTATTAACAATTGAGTGTGGTTGTCCATGTCTGTATATGTAACAAATACATCCTAGGTAGACAGATAATTGTCTAATTTTTTTTGTAGGTTTGTACATTTTTGAAATATATTACATTTTTGAAATATATACAGATGAATATCAGCTTCAGTAAAGCACGTCATATTGTATAACAAACATCTGTGTGGCATGCTGCATTGAATACAGACCAATATGCTTTAAAATTATCTTGATTTTTTTAACATTGATGCTTTTCGATTCCTTTCATTTTGATATTGGTAAATATATGTATGTAAGTGAATATTTTTTGACAGTTTACATGCATTAATTTTGCATAATAAGAATTCAAAGAACTTCAGGTACATTATTAGGAACTACCTATCTTCACATCCATGTTGTATACCGGGAACTTTCGCCCAGCCAAATATCCTGTTGGACGATAAAGTCCATGTTCGCCCAGTGTTAATTTCACCATTCACATGTAATTACTACATATTGCATGTAGTGTTCTAATATTCCCTTTCGAGATACATTCGCCCTCGTTGGGGAACAGCGAAAAAGGCGAAAGTTAAACTGCGACCACAGTATCCTGGTATATAGTATCTTCTCTTTAAATTAGAAACTTACCATTACAAGTTTTTTCAGGCCTACATGTTTATAATTTTTTCTCTTCCACATCTATCTATGCTCACAGCCATTGATTTACATTTCAGAGGACTAAGGAAAGATTGTCAGATGTTGTTATTTTCGGCCACATACGATGATGACGTGATGAGATTCGCTCAAGCTGTGATCCCAAATAACCCTGTTGTGATCAAATTGCGACGTGAAGAACAGAGTTTGGACAATATTAAACAATTTTACATTGAGTGTACAGATAAAGAAAGCAAATTCCAGGCATTATCAAATATATATGGATCCATTTCTATAGGACAATCTATGATCTTTTGTGCGGTAAGTTCTTTCTACCAGAAGACAAAGATACTTTGTACAGAAATATATACTATAACGTCTGTGGGAATCTTATGATAAATACAGGTGGATTATTTTAACTTCATTTCTTGGGGATGACTATGAGGGTTACAAATTCTGTCTCTGTATTTATACTGCAATAAAAACACTGTATGCTGGGATTTTTATTTATCATTACAGCGAATGTTTGTAAACAACAGGATACACATTGTAATTAATAATAATTATAGGTTCTTACATATCTCTTCATCACTATCTAGTTGGTAGGTCGTCTCAAAGCGGTTCACCAATTTTTATCTGTGGTTATAGGACCTTTGCAACCAGCCAATAGCGTTCTCAACTCCCTGGGGAGCATACAGCCGGTGCTGCCATTTCGGTGCTCACAGCTAGTATTCTACAATTCTAGCACTGCCCAACCACATACTCATTTACAGCTGATCATGAGTAGACTGGAACAAGCGGAGTAAAGTATCTTGCTCAAAGATACAACACAGTGCCGTACTGTGACTCGAACCTGCAACCCTTCAGTTAGAGCCGGGCGTCCTACCACTAGACTACCGTGCCTCCTAATCAAATGTGAAGGGCAAATTTAATATTGGGCAAAAATGGATTTTACCATTAGGAACAAAAAACTTTGCAACTGCAGTAGATCTATATAGATGGGGGCTTATTACCAAGCATGGGTTAATTGTGGTAACTGTAACAATATCGTACAACTTCTCATCCTCAGCTTTAACCAACTTTTTATGTCTATTGTGTATCCATGTTCGCACACAGACTTAAAAATATGCATTGATAATTATAAGATGTGATGAAAATCCTATATAAGCCTCGGTTCCGATTTAAAAAAAAAAAAAAAAAAAAAAAATTTTAAGATGTTCTTAACACTGATTATTTGAGAATGTTATTTGTTCAATGTTTAGACACGGAACACAGCCCATTGGTTGTCGGAAAAGATGACCAAGGACGGCCATGCTGTTGGGCTGTTGAGTGGAGATCTTGAAATCGCACAGAGAGCTGCAATCATCAACAGATTCAAGGACGGCAAGGAGAAAGTTCTTATTACAACAAATGTAACTTCTAGAGGTAAGCTCCTTATAACAGCGAAATTAACGACTAGAGGTAAGTCGTTATCACAGCGAATGTAATGGCTAAAGATAAGCTCGTTACTACAGCGAATGTCTCACTTTATCTCCTTTCCTTTGTTATTTAGCTTTTAGACATGGATACTCCAACTCCAGTACAAGTTTGAATGCTGTGTATGATTAAGTATGTGTAAGTGTAAATAATGCAAGCTTAGGCACTTCATCTCCTTAATTAAATTGCCTAGAATAAATAACAAGAGGATAATAAGGTAATAATTAGAGGCTATATATAAACTACTTACTGGTTTATTAATCAGTCTTTTACTCTGCTACAGTCAAACTTTGATGTTTCGAGACACGAAGCCATAAAATTTTCCAATGCCTGGTAACAGTTATTGGCAGTGGTACGGGGATCCTTAACACAGCTGGTCGTTTGAGCCGGTCTGTTATTGGCACTGGTACAGGGATCCTTAACACAGCTGGTCATTTGAGCCGGTCTGTTATTGGCAGTGGTACAGGGATCCTTAACACAGCTGGTCGTTTGAGCCGGTCTGAATATGTTTACTTGTTTGTTTATTTACAGGTATAGACGTAGAACAGGTGACAGTTGTTGTGAACTTTGACCTTCCCCTAACACAAGACATGAAACCAGACAACGAAACGTATCTACATCGTATTGGAAGGACAGGTCGATTTGGGAAAAATGGAATCGCTATCAATCTCATCGACAACTCACGATCTTACAGCACTCTCAGGGCGATAGAGAAATTTTTCGGTAAGTTACATGAACATTCCGTCTTGCATAGAGTAGAGCTTCATTAATGCTGACAGTTCTGTATCCAATGTCGAAAAGAACCTGAGTTTTGTCTAAAGAACTAGGGTGATTCTGTATATGAAAATGGCATTATTTGCAGTCTGGAAAGTAAATTATCTGAGCGAGTCCGATTTAAGATTAAAGGAATAGGTATTATAAGTACATGATTTATTTTCAACATCATCTCCACTCTGACTTCTTGGCAAGTTTCATCCAAATTGTGCTGATAGTATCTTGAGCCTTTGATGATTAGAATTTTTACTCATAGAGCAGCTTCACATTATCTTGTACTCGTCTCCTTATAGTAATGGGGTGACTTTAATTGAAAAGCAATCAGTTCGCCCTTTCTGATTCTGTTTATCAATTACAAATTCCAAATTCTATATATTCGGTTCAACATTGAAATCAAAGTGTCATATGTATACAATGGAAAGTATGCATTGAAAGTCATTATTCTTATGATTTTTACTACATGCATATGATTGACAAAACTGCATAAAAGTTGCTTGAAATCTATTCTTTATAAAAGCACAAAACCTAATGTTTAAGTTTACATCTCTGTCTATTAATGTAACAGTAGTGTTCCCACTTTATTTAGGTATTTAGTCTCATAAAATTATAAATCGATAATGCAATTGATCATCAATCTGTTTGTTTATATCTTCCGAATTCAAACCACTTATCTATTATGGTTTTAAACTGATTGCCTATCACAACTTCCCCCAGTTGCTGGTTAAATAGCATCCATACCTCCTAAATCCAGGTGACAGATTCAAGGACCTTGGGCCTCTCGTTTATATATTCAAATAATACAAAGCATACATTTTATTCTTTCTTCTCTTCCACAGGACGAAGTATAGTCAAACTGGATGCTGAAGACATTGATGAAATTGAGAAGATTGGTACATAGAACTAGACACTGAGGACTTGGTGTGAAAATAGACTCATTTTGTATTTGGCTTGCATACATTGAGTAGTGTCTTACAATAATAAGCAAGGAGCAATTTGAAATATTTTGTGCAAGTAAATCGCAAAAGTTATTGTAATAACACAGGAACAATAAACAAAACATCACTCAAGTTTGTTAACGTTCTTTTTAAAAATATGTGTATCAATAGATTTTAAATTTATGATTATGAAAGTCTGTGAAATATTGGACACCTGTAAAACTAGACTGATTTTTTAGTTTTTATAAAACACAGGTTTTCCAATGTTAATATTAAGAACTGATGCCTTGTCAGGATAATTCCTTCAATTATTCATTTAAAGGAAAATTTGTTGATTCTGATCTTATGTACATGAGTTAAAGAAGCTTCATGAAAGTGTCTGCTTACAGTGTGTATGTATCGGGGGGTATACAGATGAATGGTCTGCTGTACTTTTTAATCCTGATGAAACATCTCGACTATTGAGATTTCTTCAAATCTCAAAATCTCAACATCCGAAAACACATTTCTTGAGATTTTGCTTCAGAATATTTTTATTAAATTTCACAAAATTTGATAATTTCATCAGTTTTGAAATTCCGACATTTTTGACACTCTTCTATTCATTATGATTTTGTTTTATTCCAAATTTATCCCCAATTTCGTGGATAAATGCAGAAAAAATGCTCCTCGCAATATATTTCATTAAAATCATGTATTTTGCAAACCTAAGTCATTGACTTAACAGTCCATGATATATCTAAATGTGTTCACTGATCTTTATAAAATGTCTTTTGCAAGTTTCTGAGATATGACATGTACAGTGAGCTATGATGTTTGGGCAAGGTTCACATGTGTTTTATAAACAATGACTTATATACAATGTACAAACACTACTTTATACTTTCGATGGTATTTTAATTTGTTGCAAGTTAAATGTGATTTTTGTGTGTTCAAGTGCAAGTGCTAGGGGCATCTCCAAATATATGGTTATAGAAAAAAAACATTTCTTGGTACATATATATTGAAAAAGCAGTAATCCATTAAGTTATTGAAACATAACTTTTGCCTACTATTGCTTGTTCTGCGGGGGGACATCATGCTGCCAATTTATTTTCAAAAATCTGAAAAATGCATACAATATTTGGTTTAGAAATTATCCTCAATTAGTCTCATGTAGCCTCATGCAGTTAGTTGTTCACAATACTTTACTAAGCTCCCTGAAGGTTAATTTAGCTCACCTGTCCAGTGTTCCGTGATTTTATATGCAAGGGAAAACCAATTGTATTACAAATAGAAAAAGTTGTGTCAATGGATTATTATATATACTCACAAAACTACACTCTGTATTTATATTTTTATGAAATGCTTCCTTTTAATATTCAGTCAACTTCAAAAGTTAATTTTGAACACCATTAATTCAGCGTCATTTGTTTGACACTGCTACAGGTGTATGCTGTAAGTCTGTATCTGAAATATGTGTCATTGTTAAACTATCTCTCAGTGGGAGTCTGTTTGCATAACTCTATGTTTGTTTCTCAAAAAAATCTCTCGCGGGTGCATACAATTAATGATGATCTTGGTGCAATATTTTGTGTGAGCCTTATATCTAATACATACATGTACTGTACAACTTTTTTTCCTGCTAAAAACTGTTATGAAAATTACTTGCCATATGTAGTTTCACTGATAGTTATACTCATGCATAAATTCAGTCTTTCCTTGCCTGAAACCACCAATCAGTTGCAAAGTTCTTTCTTCATTACCGGTATATAAGACCACGGGGAAGAGGGTAATGAAAGTCTTATCCACTATCTAGACAAATATACCTACAGTTTACTGGGTGGTGATTATAAGGACTTACTTGATGACAAAATTGAAGGGTAGATTTTATAAGGGAAATGACTATGACCGATCACTGATGCAGATATATTGTGAATGTCATTTCTTTCACAGTCCATAATTTTAAGATTTCCTAAAAGGTTAAGAATTGATTTCCTGAAAATTGTACAAGTTGTATTTGTGATGGGGAAAACAATTATCAGGAAAATTGTGAAAATAAGAACCCTGCCAAAAACAAAGGATTACAATGTGTTGGACATGAACATAATTATTGTATGAACGATTTTTTCAAGATTAAAAAATATTTTTCTGTAAATGTAGTATTATAGCTTGACTTTGAATTTGGATGAGCAACAAGTTTCAGCTATGTTTTTTCAAAGTGTATGGCTACAAAAAAATACATATTGTATATGTTGACATTTTTATGTGGGAGCTTGAATTGATTGGCCACTCCTGGTAACAAAAAAACACAAAAAAACTTCACAGTTCATATTGATGGATGTAGATATGCATCCTGTAATACTAGTAGTGGTTTTCCTGACGTAAAAAGTTACGAATAAAGTGAGTGGAATGGGAGATGGGGAGGCCAATCAAATCAAAAAATTTTTTTACTGTTGCTTAAATAGATTGAGACATGATTTGTACAAATTTCATTTGCAAAACAAAATTAAACACATTGTATTATGTAAAAAAAATCACTCGACCCTGTTCATTATTTTTATGTCATGATCATGTCAGATTCCCACAGGAGGTCAATTAAAACTTTAAAATTTGCTTTCATACTTTGCTCATTTTTGTGATGTACTGAAATACTTAAAAATCTTGACATACTCATGGCAATGTTTATAAAGTTTCAGAGAGAGAAAAAAGTTTCATTAAAATTGACTGCTTCTTAGAACTGGAGGACCTTGGGTCATGATGTTTGACCAGTAGGTACCAAGAACGAATTGCTATAAAGCTTTGTCAAATAAATGACATAGAACTACTTTCAAGATCACAGGAATTAAAGATATAAAAGACTTTAAAAAAAAAGAATCTGAACAACCATGAGGCCCACAGTGATAGTACTTGGCCAGTAGGTACCTTACATGGCTTGCTATAAGATTTCCTCATGTGAATGACCTTGGCCTGCTTGCATGATCACAAGGGTCAAATGTGTTAAAACCCTTTAAACAACTTCTGAATTTGGCCAGTGGGTACCAGGGATGGGATGGAGTGCTATAAAGTGTCCTCCAATTAATGACTGACCTACTTTCAAGGCCACAGTGGTCAAATATATAAAAAAAAATCCTGCATAACCAGGAGGCCCTGGGTGATGATATTTGACAAGTATCATGCTTGTACAGAGTCTTATCAAGTGTCCTCCAGTAAATGACCTTTACCTATTTTTAAGGTCACAGGGGTCAAATATTCAAGATGTTTTAAACTGTATAACCAGGAGGTCCCGGGATAGAGTTGAATAATGTTTCCTCCTGTAAATGACCGTGATCTACATTAAGGTCACAGGGTTCAAATGTGTAAAAATCTTTAAACAACCTCTTCCTAATACTAAAGAGTGCCAAGGTGATCATAGTTGGCCAATAGCATGCTGAGATAGAATAGTACAAAGTTTCATCAATAAAATGACCTTGACCTATTTTCAACGTCATGGGGGTTCAGATGTCAAATAATGACATTTAGCCAGTAGCACTCTGGGATATATTCATTCTTGCGCGAAATGAACCTAACGTATAAATGGAAGTTGTGGCTCCACAGGATATAGGGCAGAGGCTGAGTAGGGGAAATAATATTTGTTGATATTTAAAAAAATCATATCCTTTCATACTATATAAAACATTTTTACCAAATTAAGTTAGAAATATCCTTGAACCAGGATCGATCACCCGGAGGATTCAACATTGTATAAACAGGATCTGACTCCCAGAAGAACAGCATGCAGAATGGGACTCAATGCTATAGACAGTATTAAGGATTTTAAGACTGAAATAGTATGACACTTTTATTCAGAATATATAGCTACATTCAACTGCAGCAATGCATGTTCAACATATAAGTACATGTAGATATATAAAAAGCACAAAGAACTAGCCTTAAACATCTTTTGTGCAACACAGGTAACTGGCGTTACCTGGTACACAAATACCTGTGCTTGTGGAATGTCTTTAGCACAGGCGACATATTTCAAACATACAACAAAGCTTGTTCAGCGAGTGCATATTTACCACAGGGGACGACTCTACACAATCAAGTGCTGGTTAAAATATTTCAAATTTGAATTGACTTATTAATAACAGTTAAGAGGAATGTAGTAAAAAATGTTACACAGAAAATATTGTGAAATTGATTTTGATGTGTAAAAATATCATCTTGAAGCTTCAAATACTTTTTTTATTTACATTACAAGGCAATATCAGTTTGTAAACATCAACAAACATACAATTATATTTACCATCGATTGGCATTGCCACTATATAACTCTACCAAATTCAGTTGGCGTTCATGTAGGCTATGAATGCCATGGACCGATTGTTGACATCATAATTGTTTCGTTGGATACTACTGACCATTCCCAGGCGATGGCTGTTCTATTCAATGAACAAGCATACACTATACAAACATTATTTAAACTAAATCTCAAATAACAAAAAGTGTAATTGATTTTTTTCATTTTTCATAGGCAATATGAATTCCAACTGGACAAAGGCAAATTCAATGAAGATGCCTATGAATGCCAACTGAAAGCAGTTCAATGCTTAAATATACGGAGAAGAAGTGAAGTATTATTTACCAAAATATTTCAATATAAAATATAATTGAAGGGAAAAAGTAAATGAAATTTATAAAGCTAATGATAGCAAGGTTTTCATACATGAAAGATATAAAAATTACAATTCAGTTGGGTAAAATCTTATTATCTTGATCATGCCTAAAACACGTCAGTGAATGAGTCTAAAATTTTCTCTCATAATTTTTGAGTTGCATCAAATTATTTTTCTAACAAGACATAATTATGTGTTATTAAATCTGTTACAAAAAATGTTACTGCTTTCTTTTAATATTTTAATGATACTCCGTTGTAATGGTAGAAATGAATAATCTCATTACAATGATACAGAAAAAACTGATAAAGAAATAAATATTTCCACTTGAAAATTTCATAGAAATGGGATTGGTATGACAGCTCCATGGTATATAGATACATAATATTAGCAAATGTGTAGAAAAAAATACATGCCAAAATTAACGTAGCCAAGAAGTTTTGTTACCTATTCATTGGGGAATTTCGTATCTATGTCTATATGAAGACCCACATATACTAAATAATTCTTTATTGGACTTCTATAAATAAATAATGGTTAAATTGACTGACTGACCGTTCACACCTTAGGTAGGATAGCAAAGTCATATCTCTTCAGTACATTGTAGAACTAGTATTGAGATCCTAACATATTACATTTTAAACAAAGAGTGCCGCGGGGCGGAACAATGTACGCCCACCGAATGCCATACAGTGTTATATACTTTCTTACATTGGAATAAGATCTGCATCATTCTAAGAGTGGCAAGCTGACATGCTATAAAAAATGTAGAAGAAAATCTCCAGACAAAAATCAAATACTGAAATGAACAAAGAGCAATAACTTTTGCAAAAATCGTTGAATCAAAATTCTTTTTAGGGAGACACAACTTTATATCATGATCATAATGTATACCAAGTTTCAAAGAGATCCATTGAAAAATGTAGGAGAAGATTGCCGGACAAAAATCAAATACTGAAATAAACAAAGGGCAATTTCTTTTGCAAAAATTGTTGAATCAAAATTCTTTTCAGGGAAACACAACAACCTATCATGATTATTTAGCCTACTAAGTTTTAAAGAAATCCGTCAAAAAATGTAGGAGAAGATTGCTGGACAAAAAATCAAATACTGAAATGAACAAAGGGCAATAACTTTTGTAAAAATTGCTGAATCAAAATTCATATCATGATTATAATGTATACCAAGTTGCAAAGAGATTGGTCGAAAAATGTAGGAGGAAATTGCCGGACAAACAAAAGTTTACGCCGGACGGACGCACAGACAACCCCATACCATAATACTTCGTCAAATTTGATGGGCGTAATAAAATAAGTCTTAAGTACGGGAGGTAACTACCAGTTAATTGGTTTTGTACTAGAGCAGACACTCAGAAATCTATTTCTTTTTATAGAAAAATTGAGACATGATTATTATAGATACGTCAAATTATTTGACATTAGTCACAAGCAAGGGAGGTAACTACCATTTAATTTATTTTTTACTAAACCTAACACTCAGAAATCTATGAATTTCAACTTCAAATAGAAATTGTATTCAATAAGTAATCAATGTAATGTATATTCAAGTTAAATTTTCTAACTAAACTTTTCACAACTTGGTTGTGAAATCGTAGAAAAATCAATAAATTATTAAACTATTTCCAATATTTCATAATCGGTCATGGCAGCAACATATGTACATATATATAAATCTCTAGTATTGGTTTCAATAAATTAATATACAAATATTACAAAAATTATTATAAAACAGATATATGGTATTTAAAATAATTAAAATTTTCAAATATTTCATATAAGTCTGATAAAGGACCAGAAATAAAAAAAAGTCTGGTTTAGCTTTACTGCTTAACTCCTGAATAGTGTAAATCAATTTCTGACTCTATATCATATACTTGTATGGCTGGTGAATATTTTCACTGCCCTTTATGTAAATTGTTTTCATACACAGATGACCATTGGTCAGCTAAGCTATAGCTTGTGAAAATATCAAGAAGATACATAATCAGAATAATTTCACAAGTAAACAATGATAACATTCTATTTTGTTGAGGTAGGTACTGTTTACATCAATTCACAATTTAAGACTGTAGAATTTCAAAGATAACGCTTAACTAAACTTAACTGTCACAAGAATGTCGGATTGATACCTCCCGCCTGCATCAAGACTGTTGAAATAGTTCTTTGGAGAACATTTTGAAATATAAAAAAGGTTTCACTTCCATAAGTAGCTAAGGTAACTTAAATTTATATACCATATTTAAATCTTCTCTGTGCATTTAAGTATTACAGGTTTAAACTTAAAACATTTAAACGTGTGCAGTAGTGTGGATGTTTTTTTAAGCTAAGGGGCATAACTCCCTGATAAGGGGAGGTAATACCAATTTATAGACATTGATATCTCATTTGTGTACCAAGTGGCATTCAAATTGAATTGTGCGGTACTAGAGATGAGTAGTGCAAACAATGTTTACAAACTATGAGGCACGACTCTCATGAAAACAGCTGGAACAAAAAAATAATCGCAGATGCATAAATTGTCAGATGGTGTTGACTGCATCAGTGAAGTTTCATGAAATTCAACTGAAACTGTTGTGCAGACAAAATATGGTGACTACAGATTGACAGACCGACGGATAACCAAATTCCAGTATACTCCCACCCCAACTACATTGCAGGGGGGTATAATCATGAAAACAAATACACATGTATTGTTCATGGTATGTTAACTGTATATTTCTCACATCAGAATACTATGCAAATATTTATGAATTTGTGATTTGTAATACATTCTTAAAATCTGTGAAATCAAAACCCTTGCAGAAATTAGCAATCACATTGTAACCGAAATTTGTGATCATTTATTGAAAGCAGATAATCATAATGTAAGATCATATGTACTTTTGAATCTCAAACAAAATATTGTCCAAAAATCTGCCGGCCAAAAAAGGTACCACAGAATATGACAACAAATCTGTTTAACAAATACAACAGATATATGACTTGTGTAGAGAGCTAAGCTAGAGCCATATACTTTGTCAAATGTCATATACATACAAACACATCAAACATGAATCAATACATCATTGTTATCAAGGAAAGAATTTTGGCAAGATCTGTGTAATATCATGCAGTATATGCTACTATTAGTCTACAAAATTAAACTGTGATACGGAATATTTTGCGAAATATGGAGTGAAATATGGCATGTGTACATGTACATTTGTTCAAAGCCATTACGTCCTATCTAAGATACAAGATTCTGGAAAAAATGTCACATGATTTGGTTGTCATGTGGTACATAGGGGGTATGCTTTCAGTATTAAGGTATATATCAGTACTTAGTTAATTTCATCGCAGTGTAGGATTGGTAAATTTTGATGGAAATGACTGATATTTCACCTCCTAAATGAACTGAAAAGTACCCGCTCGTCTGGTATGCAGTTAAAAGAAAACTGCACACCAGTGTTTTTGGATATTGCTTCAACTTGTGTCAGATTACCAATGTTTACCAGTTTATTAAATACACGTGACATGCATATCTAAAATCCTGTAGAATCCGGAGGGAAAAATGTATCTCGAAAACAACGTATTTCATGCCAATTAGCATGCAAGGTTTCAAATAATCATCACAGGTCTGGAATCGCATATTAATTCATTATTTTTTAGCAGATTTTGAACACACTTCGTTCGGAAAACAATATTACCATAGTGTCAACACTAAAGAAAGATTCTGCAGCCGATTAAATAGACAACAGGAGGAATCGAGAAAACTTTGTGAAAGATTGAGGCATAAAGAGGTGTTTCAGAAGGTTGTTTTCGTTGTTCACCACATGTACATGTGGCACCCGTCATGATGTCATATAACTACACGAAGATGTGAACAAAAATTCCATGTTATCTTTCAAGGATGGGCAATTAATACCAACAGCTAGATTGCAGTATATTTAATGAGTTATTTGTGTATTGCAATATGATTTAGCAATTTATTGTAATAATTAAATTGTTCACCAATTTTTGGAGGTTTTTAACACAATTTTGAAATAATCTTACAGAAATAGCAGTGAGATTTGATAAATTTTATCCAAATTTAGCTTGCTTGGTGTTTTAAGGATCCCCGTACCACTGCCAAAAAATGAAAAATCCTTCGGGACAAGATGGGAATTTGAATCCTGGTCTTCATATTGTTGTATCCTCGCAAAAGCTGATTGAGCTAGCTAATAGCTACGTACCTGATCAACAGAATTGCCCTGACCCAACTGTGCTTCAGTTATATCCAAACAGAACTTAAGGGGAGTTCCAGTGGGACAGGGATCCTTAACTGCTACAACTATATACCAGTACATATAATTTTCAATTAGCAAGTGAACATTTAATCACTTTTCATGTAATTTATATATGAAGATACATAAAAACCTACAGAATTTCTAGGAATACAATACATTGTGATATACATGTATTGCAATACATGTACAGCCTAAAGACTGCAATATATTGCAATGTGGAAATTGCATGCAATACCCACCCATGCATTCTTATACATATGACACAGTGTATACATTATCACAGGCATACAAGCTAAAAACAGATTTTTAGGAAATTTCAAATCTGTGTGGCTCGATCATGGACCTTAATGTAAAGTCAGGTCATCCAGATTTGAAGGAATGGACAAAAAATAAACAAATTCTAAACAAACAAATATGTATACAATAACAAAACAATAACATTATCAACATTATGGCACATACACAGCATGAATCAATGACGCTAGAAAACACAATTTTTAAAGTAACAATAAACAAATAAAACAATCTATCACAATATAATGCTTCTATTACAGACAATGTGTGATTTCCAACATACTGTATACTGGGAAGTTTTCGCACAGTCACACTTTTGCCCTTCCCCTGTGAAATCCAAATTCACCCAGTGTTAATTTCGCCTTTCTTGTTTAATTACCATGTAAATCATGTTGTTGACAAACGTTACTGTAATGATACATTCACCCTCATTTAATCCAGAGGGTCAAAAATTCCCCGGTATTATACAGTACTCAATGGGACTGGCATGACTAAATAATAACATGTAAAAGTACGATGGTGAACCTCTTGGTGATTTTCCATTTTTAAGCACTTTCCATACAAAACAAGAGTACCTCGGTCGAATGCCATATAGTGTTATATACTTTCTTACATTGAAATAAGATCTGCATCATTCTAAGAGTGGTTAGCTGACATGCTGTAAAAAATGTAGGAGAAAATCTCCGGACAAAAAAATCAAATACTGAAATGAACAAAGGGCAATAACTTTTGCAAAAATTGTCGAATTAACATTCTTTTCAAGGAAACACAACAACCTATCATGATTATTTAGCCTACTCAGTTTCAAAGAGATCTGTTGAAAAATGTAGGAGAAGATTGCCGGACAAAAAATCAAATATTGAAATGAACAAAGGGCAATAACTTTTGAAAAAATTGTCGAATCAAAATTCTTTTAAGGGAAACACAACTTCATATCATGATTCAAATGCATACCAAGTTTCAAAGAGATCGGTCAAAAAATGTAGGAGGAGATTGCCGGACAAACAAAAGTTTAAGCCAGCCGGCCTGATGGACGACGCCATACCATAATATGCGTATAAATATGACAGATGGAATGTGTTTTTGTTTTGTTGTTATGTAATGCTGTGGCTGCTTTAGGAAAGTACCTGAATTATTTTTTGGGATGTGTTTACGAACAAATTTCAAGTAACTCAAGGAATACAAAACAAAGACAACTAATACATTATACTGCTATACCTTGGTGACAATATTGAAAAAGATTTGAAATATCAAAATTGATTTCAAGAAAAACTATTTTGTTTTGAAATACTAGCAAGAAGAATTTAAAAGGTGAACAGGATGTAGCTAGAATAAAATGACATACACAAATTTCACAGAATATTCCTTAAGAATTGTTACTACAAATTTAAATACATAATTTGTATTTTGTTTAGAGTCAGACAATTATTTGGGAAAATAGCTGATGTTGAATATACTGCAAAAATCATTGCAAATTTAGAGAATAGGCATAAGGTAGAAATAGTATGTTTTTTTTATCTTATTTTTCTTTTTTTTCTTTTTTTTTTGCAGTCAGTTACTGCTGTCAGTTACTTCAAAAAGGGAAAATCAAGAAAATTTTATAAAGCTGGTTCACAAAGATAATCTCAATAAGGTTTCACTGATGATAAAACATAATCATGGAATTACATGCAATACCATTCTTAAGTAATACATTTCACTGTAAGGTAAATTAATCTGAAACTTCTCTACAGCAAAAAACTATTAAAAAAATATGTATATTCCTACTTATTGTTTTGAAACAACTGAATTTCTAGTGTATATTATTGTAAGTAGATTCTTCTGGTTCACTTATAGTTATGCAGTGAATATACACATGTCTCACTAAAAAAAGTAGGGGGATGGACTTACAATAGGGCAATAGAATAGCATTTGCTTTTTACTGAACTACAATAGTATGAGTGGGCTTATTACCAGGCATGGGTTTATTAGTGGGTATTTACAGTTCAAGTAATATAGTTTATTCCAGACTTGCTTAAAGGTGTTTTTTTTCAGATCAGCTAACTCAGTTAACACACTGAAAACAATGATATTTAAATAAAAAAAAATAGAACAAAAATCAATAATTAAAGCATCACAATAAATACAAAATACTTTTAACAAACAGATCAAACAATTCTAAACATATACAAATTTTACATAAAAGCTATTGTATAAAGATATCATTATAACTTTTGACAGTAAAACAACTATCAAATTTAAATATCACAGACTACAAAGAGATTTTGACACAATAAAAATCTTTGGATATGAATAAAAAAAAAGTAACATTCGTCACTAAGAATTGGCATGACATATTTAGGTATGTTTTTTTTATAATAAACATCAGATAATTATACATATCATGTACGTTTTTTCTAGCACTTGCAACTAACTTATAATAACAACACTCATGTCATTGTGAACCTCGAGCTCATATACCTGACATAATAACTTTATTTTAAGGTAACTCGTTCACCCCTGAAAGTTCATGATGAACTGTTCCAACCTTTGAATTGGAAGAGTAAACTTGTGTCTTCAGGGATGAATAAGTTGATAAAGACGACCTACAGTTTGTTTTAAAATGAATTAGGAATCATAACTGTACATTACTGCCTTTAGGTAATATTGCTATTCCATGCATTCAAAACTAAATGGACAGATACACAGCTCAAAGATTCCTATATCCCACTGCAGGCAAAACACTAGAGAATTCCATTGTAGTTTTTCCACATGTAAAGTTATCTCCCCTTAATTTTGTTTGAACTATGACTGTAGTTGGACTGGGCCAAGAAACAGTCCCTAATCAACTAGCTTAATTGCTTCAAGCGACCGTATTGTGGTCAGAGGTCCTGGGTTCAAGTCCTAGTCTGGCCAAGATCAATTTTTACTCTCTGACCACTCGTAAAAATATAAAAAATTACCCTGTATTAATTGCTTTTAATTTGTATTATTCTTCATAAATTTTACACAAGGTATAGTTTTCTTTTCAGAGGATTGAACATTATATTTTCATTGCTGTTTTTAGGAAAAGTTTTGAATTCCTAATTTTAGTTTTTGGCGGTGGTAGAGGGATCCTTGATATCATTAATATACTGCACCAATCTGACGTTAAATAAGAACATTTGTTTATCTTTATTTAAAGTAAACAGTAAAGGCCACTTCGAGACACCTCCTGACACTACTGCTAGGTAATAGACTGTTTAAGAACATACACAATTCGTTGGAGGAACTCCAACGTGCCAGTATTCACAAGTTCGTGTGACGGACATGCTATGAGTCTTTCTCTTCAAGGTATAAAACAGTTCGGTCTTCCAAGTCCGCCTCTCCAACCAGCACATTTAAGTCTGTGTACACAATTCGAGGCATATTTCTGACTAAGTCATGCAACGACAAATCGCAATTCATACAGTTTTCTGCAAAATGTAACACCATTTCAAGCCTGTCTGTGACTCTGAAGTAGTGTTGTTTACGAGACCCATCAAGTAAACGCACAGCCAGAAGAATTCGAGTGGCTCCCTCTGATGGTTCAGCTGGTAACTTATGAGGTGTAAATTTGGAACTCTCCTGTAAATTCTGGTAACCATGGTTACTATATGTTTCCTCAGATTCCTGATAACCTGGTAATAATCTACTGTCTGGTTCGTCGGAGGATATCGATACATCAATATCCCTTGAAATGTCTTTTGATCTTCGTTCCTCTGAGTAATCACTTTCTGACCTGTAAAGAGGACGGGAGTTAGACTGTTCTGTCATGTGACCTGCAGTTGGTGGTTCTTTTCCTGACGAATGGTCTTCATCATTACTAAAATCCAGTTTCTGTGTTCTTAATGACAGTGAGTCTAAAGAAATTTCATCACGACGGGGAGCCTGCGGAATACCAATTGCCGGCAGAAGTTTGTATCTTGTCAGAGAAGACATAGGTCTCATCGTGGCAGGAGTTGGCAAGTTTTCTGAAGAAAGGAGGAAAAAATGCAAAGTTACATAGCAATTTCAAAGTCATTGATAGCATTATTTTTGAAACCCAAACACACAAAAACAAGAGGTCTTTCGGGCCTCCAGTCGTTCACCAGATTATTTTGGAAATCAAATTACCGGTAAAATAATTTGCCAATAGCCTGAATTTCCTCTGGCCCTGACACCAGACTTAGACATTTGGACAGATAGATGTCTGCCCACACCAGACATCTATCTGTCAAAATGTCTTAGTCTGGTGTCAGGGGCCAGAGGAAACTAAGGCTAATCTACCAAGTACATGTAGGTTTAATTTCGCAGGGCTCAATATTTTGCAGGTGCCCCAATGCAATCAGAAATAGTTACCAGGGATTAATTTTCACACAACATTGTAAGGTAAAAATATTGCACTCACAAGGGCGCTTTTGTATTTGAGTGATGGAATTTATTTTACAGGTGTTATAAAAATATGATGTTCAAAACCTATCTTATATCCATTATTTGGCAGTAAAAGGGTAAACAGGTATTTTTAGTTATCTTTGCATATTCATGGTATTGGTATTCGCGGGGTATCTATAGTTACATGTATATAATTTTGCACTCTCTTTGGTGACTGCGAATATATGGAAATTAAATCAATGAAAATGTTCAACTATAGATTGGGAAGAGAGAGACCAGGAGGGCTCAGCACCTATACCTGTAAAATTGATCCCCAAGGCCTAAGCATGCCATCACTACAATTTGGTCAAAATTCATCCAGTGCTTTGGGAGAAGATGTCTTTTAAGTAAATCAATTAGCCTATGTGATGTTTGCCATCCAGCCCCTCAGCCCCAAGGAGTGTCAGCCCCTTTATTTGTATACCATTTAATGCCCATGGCCTCAGGATGATAACACCAAAATTTGGTTAAATTCTGTTCAATATTATGAAAAGTGGCCTGGGGTCATTTAAAATTAGAGTTGATGGACAACAGAAAAAGTACCAAAACTAATTAATACACTGTAATTCAATATGAAAAACATCATCTGTATGTCAATAGTAAAATTACATGTGTACAATGCCTGTAATAGCATGTGTTATAGCTAGTTAAAGAAACTATACATGTATGTAAACAACACAGGCATTTGTTTCTGTCAATAAAGATAGTCACAAGAAAAAAAAATCACACCCTACTCATAAAATATTTTATGAGTAGGGTGTGATTTTCTTTTTCTCGTGACTATTTTTATTGACAGAAACAAATGCTTGTGGTAAACAAGTCTTAAGTAGAAATAGTGTACATACTATAGCTGTAAGTCATGAAATATTTCCAACTTTGATTATTTGCAGATCAAATATGGAGTTTTCCTTTACAAGCATAAGCTTGTAAAATTTTGTTGAATATTCATTGAGTATCCACCGAAAGCTTTTACGTACAGAAGACATTTTTGTGATTCCTTTATATACAATGTATATAAATTACCATTACTGTATTTATCCTTTACATTTAGTTGTAAATACTAGGATCTCTTTAATAAGTTTACATTTGATATGAGGTTTATTAAAAGAGTTTTGAAGCTTTGATTTTATTGAGGACAGTTCTCATTTTTGGTAGATATACATTGATACCTGATCAATTTATTATCTTGTCTGATCCTTGTAATTTGATTTTTAATACTGGAAAAGAAAACTTCTACAGCACAAAATATATGTGTCATTTTTATTTACAATACTGACAGTATTTTGAATTGCGCAAGGTGTGTCTTTAAAGCCAGACAACTGATAGACAGAGAAGCAACCTGATTTGAGCAACTGCAGAAATGAATGGCATTAATTTTTGTGTTACATATATAGTATCTACAAAAATCTTAACACCTGTGTCCACATGATAACCCCCTAAAATGACAATTTAAAAAATTCCAGTACCAAAATTTAATTATTTACATAAATTAATTCTGAAAATTATCATATATGAGGACCCCAAATATTTATCTAGGACCCCCGATTTTCAATCAAGTGGGTCCCTTATATAAGACTCTCAACGTCAAATGGGATGTAAAACTCTGTTATCAGAGCCAGGCCATACATCTCTCACTGTAACCAAGCACAAAAAAATATACCCTCAGTATTTCATTTTAAATTTGGTGGATAGCTTTTACAATTCCATACATACTCAGAATCAAAATGAAATTAGATAATAAAATAAAAACACTCCAAAATGCTGATATTTTAACTTACCGATGACAGATTCCGGTTCTGTGTCAAGCACATTTTGTTTTTTTCTTGCACTTCCTGGAGGTCTACGCTTCTTTCCCGATTTTGTTCGAGCAGAGTATCGTTGTTTCTTGTTGCCTTGTTTGTATACATTATCTTGTATTTGTTGTTCATTTCTCTGTGAAAATTCACTTTCCGGATTCTGATCATAACCAGTGTCACGGTTTATATAATACCCATCATAATTATCCCTTGATGACGGAAGATTTTCAGACGATGAGGGTGGTCTTTCATGATAGTAAGATGAAGTATCCTCACCGTAACTGTCATTTCCAAAGAGAGGTTGGTCTTGCGTATTAGAGTCTCGAGAAAAGGAAGGACGCTTTGAACTAGAACTTTTTCGCTTTTGTTGTAAATAAGAAGTGCTATCCCCTGAAGACCGATCAAATTTATCCATTGGTGAATTTCTGTTGGAATTTTCAGATGGAGATGTGTGGTATCTGTTCGCTGAAGTAGGTCGTTGTTGTGGACTGGGAGTCAATCCTGGACTTCTAAACCCAGATAATTTCTGTTGTCTGTTCGATGGTGACATTCCCTTTCTTTCACCAAACAGACTTTCACGTGACTTTGGATGTCCAGCGGGACTTGGTCGCGTTTGGACAGGAGAACCTTGGCGACCAGCAGGAGACATAGGCGGACTAAGTCCACTGCTATCATCGGAACTAATCTGGCTGTCCAGTGTAAGAGTTTGGCGGGAGTATTCATCATAATCGTGTCTGAAATACAAGAAATTGAATCAAAACAAGAATCGTACAGGATATTCAGTGGTACATAACATAAATATTTAAAGAGTAGGACTGTTTTTTTCTTCAGATCCATCAGTTTGGAAATATGTAATAACTGTATCAAACTTTTACTTTATACACATACAATTCAATTCAAGACTGACTGGTCCCATTGTCAAGCTATGACTGAGTTAGCGATTGGGAGTACAGGTAGGACTAATCTTTCTGATAGCTTACACGATGAGAAATGTATTTTTTCCGGATACAGGAAAATTTAGCATATGAGTGTCATATTCTAATTATTATATGTCTTTCAATTTGAAACCATTGAATTATATTCAGTTCATTATATTTCTCAAAATGTCAGGAACTGGCAATGACATAAATTTGTCAGTACCTTTTGTAGGTTTCTGGAGTATAGCCTATGCGAGAGGCTGGCCGTCCATTGTCTTCAGGACTGGGATCCACAGGAGGTCGGCCCATCCTAGATTTGGGACGAATTCTACGCCCGGTACTTGTTTTTGGCCTCTCCATGGAGTCTATATCCATGGCAACAGCTTGCTGCTTCAGCTTATAAACATCTGACCAGAAAAAAAGAACAAATTTATTGACCTGGAGACAAATATTTTATTTTAAACATGTGTGTTAGTGTAAAAGGTCGATAAGACCTGTTACGGTCATAGTTCTCATAAAAGATTCTGTTTGGATATGATGGCATTTATCTGGCTTACACCTATAATTTAGCTTCTTAATAACAGACAGCTTTTTTTTTATACTGGGTAGCTGTGATAAAGAAGCTTCTGAAGACGAGACTTTTTTTATATGTTGCGGTGGCCGGTACAGAGGAGACCAGGTATTCATATATATCAATACTACTATCTGGCGTCAAGTTACATCATTGTACTTAAGGCCATGTTGACAGACTTTTTTAAGATAATTATCACAAGTTATGTTACATGATTTCATTTATGTAAATTTACCAACTTTTGTGTTCCATTTAGCAGGACAATATGATCGGCTGTCACTAATCAGCTGATCCTCAAGATGGAATGTGCGATAGATGGAATAATGTGTGATGATCTCGTGAAACAAACCTGCAGTTCATTGACAAGAACACTTAATTTGAGGGTACCAAAGTTGGATCCAATATGAAGGCCAGTGAAGGTTTTCATTTCAGGAGTTTGGTAACTTGTTTATAGATGTACATATAATTGTTGAACTTACAACTTGTGAAACTGAATTTTATCAGGGTAATTATATAACAAGTGACATATATCACATTGTGTTTAACCTTAAAAAATATATAAATAAATATTACTATTTCATTGTAAAGGATATTCATAGGGAATAATTGTTTCGCTATTATCATTGGCACATGCAAGAACACACGTAGAAATGTGCTGCTATATTCTGCTTAATCATATACAAGTAGTTACACACCCGACATAAATTCTGGTAAAAGTCAAATTAATGAACCAAAGTAACTCCAGATTTGGTGATAATCATCTCAACAAGTCCTGTACTGTAACACAAAACTTGCTAAATGGATGACAGAAATATGCCACCATATGAATTTAGCCCGAGTTTCCACTGGCCCCGACACTAGACATTTTGACAGGTAGCTGTCTGGTGTACATGTAGGGCCAGAGCGCAATGCTACAACTGCGGCAACTGCACTCATATCTATGAGATCTGCCGCAGTAAATGGAAGAAAAAGATGAAAACGTGGAATTCTCCGACACTATTTGGTAACAGGGAGTGACTAATCAACAAAAAGATGCAGTCCAGAAATCTTCTAAACAAGATTAATCGTTCCGTCCAGATCAGTACGGTTTGTTGATTAGTCACCCTGTGACCTACAAAAATAGTGTTCGTTCAGGTGGGAAATTTTTAACGATTAATAATCGAAGACTCTACTGAAGGAATTTATCGATCTCTGTGAGGCATGTGTACATTGTGTCATAGTATATTTTTGTTGTCAGCACCTCATAATTCTCCGATACCAAACGGTGTCGGAGCATTCCACGTTTTCATAGTCAGTCTTGCACCACACCAGACATATATCTGCCAAAATGTCCAAGTCTGGTGTCGGGGCCAGAGGAAACTCAGGCTACATATGAATTGAAAGCTCCTGTGGCAGATTTTAATTGTACATATAGGAGTAAGGTCGCCTTCTAGCTTCGAGTTGGGGGGAATTTCCCTTTATCTCAGTGGTAGGGCGTCCGACTAGGAACCTGGAAATCGAGGGTTCGATCCCAGGTGGAAGCGCACTATTATCTTTCCTGTTACACTCCATTCATAATGACTGATGAGTTGGGTCAACATTATTGTGTTAACTGCGTCAGTTTCTTTGGGTCGTTGTAGCAAAGAAAATGCATTGAATAGTGAGGCTTCTATATGACTTTCAAGTTTTTGAAGTATCCATGACAGACCTGGTCACTGCGGATTGACCGACCGATGACCGAACCCACTACTGACGGTAAACATGTTTTGAAGCGAATCTGACCTATGATGACATTGCATTAGAAAAAAACACCATAGACGGACAATCAACCTGATTCACCTTCTTGATCAACATAATCTATGGTGGAATAGCTCGGAATGTCATCTGCGTATCGACCACTCGTATCAATAGTGTGGCCAGGTGCATGGTATCTTCCATGGCGACTAACGGGTCGACAAGAATCCGCCATATTGTTTACATCTTTGCGTCATAGATTTTTTACGCAATGTATGCCTTTTAATTGGTTGAAATTAATTTTGTTACTTTTGGATTTGAAATAAATACTAATGTACAAAATGAAAACAAACATTTATTCAAATGTTTCACAACGTTCGAATATATATGGAATATCAAGATACCTTTTTCCTAACAAATGCATAGTAATGAATGAACCGACGGTATGGCAAATAGTTCCGGATATCAAACACGTTCTCGAAAATATTGACAGAATCAAACTTGGAATGAACCTCTTTTTAGTCTGTAAGATGAGAGAAATGATATATTTTCTGTTATCAGTACATTCTCTATTTACAAGATAAGCTTTATATTTGCAACCTTAAGGTTATCATTAGATTTCTGTGACGGAACCTACTACTCAAGACAGGTGATTCGACAACCGATACATCTTTGTTGTTTATGTGCGACTCGTCAATTAGACGCTTTGATCGCGTGAGCTTCAAACGCTTACCTAACTTAGTTCATATTCAGTGCAGGATAATAACATGTCAGCGCCCTGAAAAAGTAATGACAAGATGCTTGGTGATTTGGTCAAAGGAAGAGAAAAATCAACACTTACACTGATAGAGGGTCTGTGATCCATGCTTTCACTTTGATATATATACAATCTGAGTTCGATATACAATTTTAATAAAATAGGTAACATTTTTTATGAAAATCAGCATTTGACAGCTCATGCATGCTTACTCCAACAATGTTAGAGGTTTTACACGGCGAGAAACTTTTGACAAGCGCCATGTAACAGTCGGCAAAATAATATCCGATAGAAAAAAAGGCCAACCAGCGGCCTCTTGTGTTATAGGAATAATGCATACTCTGCAGACTAATGAAATCGTACACAAGACAGCTAGCTGTCAGAGATTTAGAAATTAACAGATTAAGGATCATACTACAAAAATTGTGCATATAACACTATGATTCGGTTCACTATAAACTGCTGATTATATAGCTCAAACACATTTATTGAAAATACTACAGTGTAGCTTGATTCACCTTCCATACTTTTAGATTTTTATTTGTTTTATTCTATCTGAAAACAAGCAGGCAGCTGTTCCCTACGTCAGTTAGAGTTTAACTAGCCAAAATATCTGATCCGAAAAGCATGAGTAAAAAATGTCCTCAATTATTTCTTCTGTATAAGTTTTGTGTGATCTCCTTGTTCCAGATTCTGTTGAAGAGCCAGGAAGAGGACTGCTGTCATGTTTCCTTCTTAGTCTCTGCCAAAGGTATAAATCTTAACAACAGCACTACATTTCCATGTCTGGTCAGTTACTCATTATTTCTCATCCAAATCTCAGCTCGAATGTTCTGGCAGATCAGTCGTCTGTCAAGTGTCCAGTCAGCCTGTTTGCATCCTTGAACCTACATGGGTTACGCTCGCTTGATGTACGACTCTTATAGCAAATTGAAGACGTGAAGATAGCTATATTTGATTGGTGCCAGTTAAAATAACCTGACCAATCATTAGGCTGATACCTGTCCTGGTTTTCAGAGTAATTTTACACGTTTTAGGGAGTTTAGATCGACTTTTAGTAATAAATAATAAATTGCCATCCCCAGTGATCATATACATTATATACGAGAAGGGAGAAAATTAAGCTCTTGAGTTAAAAAAATTGAACCCACAGTGACGTGACTGTTTTGCATCAAAAACCACATATCTGGTTCATGTACGAAAAAATGCTTAATAACGTTGAGAGATGAATACTTTTTCTTTTTCTTTTAAAAACCTCCTATATGTAGGTAAAATGTATTCTCCTTCCGTTTCCTCCAATAACACATTCCGAGTTTTAAAGTTTTAACGCAGTCATAGTCAGCCACGTTTTGTACATCCATGAGGTTGAGATGACCAGCCACGAGTTGAAACCTATGGTGTGATTGGCTGGTTATATTTTATTTTAGGGGGAAAAATCACACCACAGGTTTTGGCACTTGGCTGATGTCAACCTCATGATACTTTATTTATTTTGGTTTACTAGAAAAAAAATATGTATAAACTTATATATTGCTGATTTTATATGAGAAAACAATAGTTATAATTATCTATTTTGTAGGGTGGATGAGGTCCATGTGCTAACATTTGATCCAAAGTCACAGTCCATGTTAGACGTAGTGCCAGCAGGAACAAACACTAAGTAAGTCAGGGAATCACAAAACTCCAAATAAAGTTTATCATGGATTTTCATTTCAGTAATAATTAATGTAAGTATCGAACCTCTGAAACCTCCTATGGAGGAGATTTCCCTCATTCCACATTTTCAATGACGGAGAAAGTGCATGAAACGCAACTGAAACTGCTTTGCTCAATTTACCTTTCCCCTTTTATGCATCAGAATAACTAAAAAAAAACATTAATTCAATTCAGGCACACCTGTTATGATCATTAATCATGTCCTGTAGCAACTAGGAGATCATTTGACCACAGGATGTAGATTTTGACTTTGGACTTAAATGAGGGAGTTTCGAGGGAGGTTGGTAAATTTTGGTCAAAATGAGGGAGTCTCCCTCCTAATGACGGAGGGTTGACAGGAATGTAAAATTACTGTAACTTTAGTATGCATATTCAATACCTACACCCATCTTTGTATCCCTAAAAACAAAGAATTAAAATATTCTGCCTTTCTTACCCACATGTGACCCATTATAATCTCGATAATACAGACACAGAGTGATCTCCCTTCATCTTTCTTTTATGGAGCCCACACTGCCCTGGCGGCTTTTGCTGAGCTTCAAAAGTTGACCTTATTCAGGCTGTTTTGGTTTGATGGCTTAATCATCGAGAGTGAAGCTATCAAGTTTGTTCAAATATATCAAGGACACATGGACCAAACATTTTTCAAGCCTTTAAACAACTTCTTCTAAATAACCAGGAGGCTTAGAGTCATGACATTTGGTCTTTGTTCAAACACTATCGAGTTACATTTGTATATGAAACTAACATGATCATAACATAGTCATCATAGTTAATGAAACATCTAACGGTCGGAGAAACATTTTATATCCCTAATTTGTCTGCATCTTTAAATATTTAATAAGTGATAATATACAACATTTGATATAGCTCCCTTTCTAGCTAACATAAGCCACTCTAAAGCGCTTTACAGTACATAGATATACAATTAATACAATTAGAATATTCCAGTTTTGAGGAATTCCCAGGAGCTGCCTTATCAGGCACTAACTACTAGTCCTATGCCACCTGGCTAATATCTCCCTATGTGTGTATGCCTGCGTGTGTGCTGGAGATGTATTGTGTATAAGTGATGTCTTATTAGTGATTGGCAATCAGGTTAAAATCATGTTTGGTGACTGGTAATCAGTTTGTAATTTAAGGAGTCCACCCACTGAACATATTCAGTTTATAATTTTATGGGACTGAATACTTGAATAAAGTGAGAACTCTCTATTACTTCATTAATAGATAGAGCTGTTTGCTATATACATTATAATTCCTTCCTTTATAATGAACAGTTTACAACCAACTTTTACGCAGTTTCAATTTTTTCATCATTACCATCTATTACCGGTATATATATGACATATATTATAATAAAAATCAGAAATATAAATGACTTTCAATGCATACTGTAGATTGTAACCCAAGAGATAAATGAAACCTACAACAGTTATTAATTTCAAGTACATTGTACGTACAAGTGTAAAAGTGACATGTCTGGTCCAATATTGTTTTATATTTTGCATTCTGCAGCTCAGTACTATTGTATACATTTGACAGTTGAGTTCAGTAATGAACCAACTATATCAGTTATGGAATTTGTAATCGATAATCAGAATTTAAAAGTGTAAATCAATCAATTTCAATTATAATCAATTATCAGCATATCATGATCTTTTATTATTTTCTCTTTATTACCAGAATAGTTCATCATAACTGCCAACATGATATGCTCAACTGGAAAGAATCATCGGAGCTCTGCCTGGATTCAGACCTGGCAAAGGTCATCAAGGCAAAGGGAAACCTGAACAGGGACCGAAAGGTTGCTCTGGTTATTGACTCTTTGAGTGCCCTCCTTCTGTTTCGACCAGTACCCTACACTTGTCAGACTCTGCACAAACTCTCAGACAGCGATGCCATGGGTACGTTTCCATCCGACACACTAGTCATGACAGTGCAATGTCATATGTAATGAGAATAGTTGCGTAACAGATCTGGACTAGCAGTATTATCCCCTCGACTATTGTTTTATTATTTACAGGCTCTGTTGAGCAATAATGTACATAACTATCAAGACATGCGTGTGTGTGTGAAAGTGCACTTGGGTTGGTGGTCTGTTCACAGTATCCTGAAAAAGGAGTCATACAGATATATAATAAGTCGTTCATGCCATTCTGTAAAAAAAAATATGGTTAAACTTTATTAAACAACCACTTTCATTTAACAACCAGTTTCAATATTTCGACCCTTGTGTGGTCATTTAATACAGACTTGACTTATGACTATGTACGACTTGTGACTTTGTTCAATCCAAATAGTTCCAATCTATTTTTATCAGGAGCTTCAGTCGAACAGGTTGTTGCACTGGTACATCATGATCTCCATGACAACAGTAGCCTCACTTTGGTGGAACACACAGTGTCAACTGTAATTCGTACCTGGCCTACACAATCACCTGGACATGAGTTCTGCTGCAATACTCTACATAAAAAGATCTCCGGAAAAATAGTCAGAATTGTGAGTACAGTATATACTGTAAACATACGCATTTTAGCACACACCAACATTAGTGCATCAGCAAATTTTTGTGCATTCTCAAGTTTGAGTGCATTATCAAGTTTTAGTAGATTAGTGCATTGTTGAATGAACACACCTCTTAAATATGCAAAAGAGAACAATAACCAAGAACTTCAATTGGTGCATTCATAATTTAGTGCAATAGTTAGAGAGTAAAATACGCTAAAATAAGACTATCACTAAAATATGTATGTTTACAGTAAGGTATGTGGATATGGCCTTGTTATGGTCGACTTGTCACCGAGCATTTGAGCCAAATTAATATCCACTAACAAAATTATACTAATTTTAGGTCTCTAATGTGTATCAGGAAAGTTTTGCACAGTTATCTCTCCTCCACAATGAGGTTGAATTAATATTTATATAATTATCATGACAGTGCGTGTTAGTTCACAGCATATATACTGTAACATATGTACCAGAATTAATAATTACATGTGAAGGGCAAATTTTAACACTAGGTAAACAAGGATTTTGACCTGGTGAATGTTTCCGGTACACAGAAGTCCAAAGGTATACACAATTTGGTTGTGAAAATTATGTTTTTACAACGTGTATGAAATTTATAGAAATGTAAGAGAAATATTAATGACATATGATATAGTAAATTTTTGGTTTATTCAGGCTAATAGTGTGGACAATTAAACTTGATATTTAATTTTTTGAATTTCAGAAAGAACATTTCAACATCAGTGACCAATTTGAGATTGAAAACATCACCGAGCTGAAGACTGTTATTGATTCCACACCACAACAACCCACAAGCCAGGTATAATTACCAAGCCTGGATTTTCCCTATCTTTACCGGAAAATCAGAGTTGCCAAATTTACATTGCCTGCAATGAGCCATGAAGAGATTACTACTTTCATGCTACTGGGATTTGACCTGAGGTCACACCTCGCCCTTTGGTATTGGAAAAAGTTGAAATCCCTACCCTATAACCATATATTAAATTAATGGGCATGGAGAAACAAATATATTCATGTCCTTGGCGTCATTACTGCCCATAGGGATTTAGTCCTTACTACAGCTTTTATATTCACACTATTTGATTAAAGTGAACAGAAGTCAACATGTTTAAAATTAAGAAAGAAAATTCCAGGTGAGCTTTCAAAGCCTCTAGGCCTCTTGTTTCAAATCTTTATTTTTAGAATTGTTTATTTGAAAGTGTATCATTGTAGGTTGATCCTGCTGCAAATTTGACCTTCAACTTGTCTTTGACCGACCAGGAGAAAAAGGCGCGGAGTCAGGTGAAGCTACCATATACTTATGACCAGAAAAGGTGAGGTTCTTAGTTACCAGATAACACTCTAGGACATAGTAATGATAAGAAAGTAGAGCCAACCTCACCACATTTACTATAATCCTGTAATATTTACTTATTCTCAGAAAGAGCAATAATGCAGTCTCCAGGTGCAGGGCCTGGCCACTGGTACGTTATTTAATCCTGATAGCACGAGTTATAAAAGCTTGTGTACAAGTCATCTCACAAACCCTTCAATCAAAACAGTATGGTCGCATTGAGTTCTACGCTTGATTAGATACTGTGTTGTATCTTTGAGCAAGATACTTTACTCCGCTTGTTCCAGTCTACTCAGCTGTAAATAAGTATGTGGTTGGGCAGTGCTAGAATTGTTGAATGCTAGCTGTGAGCGCCAAAATGGCAGCACCGGCTGTATGATCCCCAGGGAGTTGAATAAGATATTGTCTGGTTGCAAAAGGCCCTATAACTACGGATAATTATGTGTGAACCGCTTTCAGACACAAACTACAAATTAGGTTGTGATAAAGCGGATTATAAGAATCTTGAATTATCATTATTAGATTTTGGTGGTCATCAGGTGGGAGGGGGAGTATCTATGTGAGCTTCTGATCATTTGTTTTCTATTTTATTGATTTGGCTCTGATCTGTTGTAACAGGATAGAAGCCACACTGAACAAGTCTGTCGGCGAGGGAAAGATATTCTACCAGCCAGACGAAGCAGACGACTTCGATGAGGAAGATCCCGATGATGATTTGGACGTTTGATGATTCTACCCTTACTAAATCTGAATTTTACTGAACAAAATCAGTCAATGTGGAATTTAAAAAAATAAGATCATCACAAAATATGTGTATATCTTGACTGAATGATATGAAGATGTAAAATTTACTTTCTTATCTCAGTTTTTGAGACAAAAGTCAGTCTAGAGTAACATTGTTATGGGTACGTGGACTGTCTTATCAGAGTGACTTATTAAACTTCATCTGTAATCGTAGTTTTGCTACAAATTTTTGCTGCAGTTTAACTTTCAACTTTTTTGTCCTCATAAAGAGGGCGAATTATCACTACAATGAAAATAAGTTTGCAACATGATTTACAAAGGTATAAAATTTTAAGGCGAATTATCAGTGAAGGGAGAAAACTTGACTGAAAAAACAATTCCAGCAAACAGTAGTTCCAGGGTGACAAGTTCCTTCTACATGTACAAATGTAATTACATAAAATTATGTTGTATCGTTAATATCTTACTGTGTTTTCCTATTTGCAAAGTGAAATATCAAACTTGCACTTTAACATTTTTATCCCTATCTATCATACTAGGATATTCATTATGTTTTCAGTTTGTTCATTGTCTTCCATACTTTGAATTTTGTTGGCAGTGGGAAAGTTTCACAGTGGGAAGCATCTACAGTAAATTGTCATTTCAGCAATGTGATTTGAAAGCAAAATAAATACATATAAAAAGATATCGAAGTGTTGTGAAATATTATTATTATAACAAACACAATTAAAGGCAGTTTTATTTTTATTTTTAGATTAATAACATCGTCTTAATTTACCAACAGGACATATATTTATCAATATTTAAATCATCAACAGTCATAAGTTCTGAACCTGAGTTAAAAATGGTTGCTGCAGATTTTCAGAAAAGTATTGCATGGACAATATGAAGGTATGCCCATAAACTTCTCAAGCTCGTGAATCCCTATCTGGACACATAGAATTTAATTATTTTAGCACTCGGAACACTCTCATTGATTATATTTCGTTTTCTTTCATTTTAATTCTCTTTTTCATTTAAGTCCCACAAGGCATGGTTTTCTTTTCAGAAATCATTTATCAAAGCTTTAATCATGTAAGGTAAGTAAAAGTAGGTTTTCAATGCATGCTTACTGTTTTTTGGCAGTGATACAGGGATCCTGAACCAAACTGTCTGGAAATGTTTACATCTGAGAGTGTCCATTATTTGTATCAATAACTGCACCAAAATAAAATAATGTTTTAACTCATTCACCCCTAAAATTTCATAGTGAACTTTTCCAACCTTTGAATCGGAAGAGTTCAAATGTGTCTTCAGGGGTCAATGAGTTCAACAATTCATTAAAACCAGTAAAGAAAGCAACATTTACAAAAGAAATCCCTACCTATACTCTAGCTACTTGGCGGAACTTTAAAATACTGGCTCAGATTTAGGCAGACACACATTTGATTAATACTGGCCTTTTGATTAATCACAGATAATAACGTAACTCCCAGGATTTTGAGTGTTACAATTTACAACACCCTACTCAATAATAAATTATAATACCCATACCTCATATTATTATACATCACAGAAATAGACGTCCACTTTTACATACCCAAATATAGGACATTGATTTGCCAGAATACCTTTAATACGTGGTATGAACAATTTTGTTCTTTAGACAATTGAATGTGCTAACTCAATGAAATATACTCTGGTTAGTGAATTAAAAAAAGAAAAATGTACCTCTTAACTTTAACCTTATAATTCATTTTTCAATTCAATCAGAATAATAGTATTCAAATTTAAAGACAAACTGTTAACAACCAAAAACCATGGAATTCCAAATGAATTTTTTTTTGTATTTCTTTATAAATCTGTCAAAAATATCAATTTGAAAATTTGACTAAACAAATCATTATCAAAAGCTTATAAGGTTTTATACAGAGGATCTTACAGGGTAATTGTAGTCTTAGAAGTCTTTGTTTCGTAGTGGACAAACTTTGATTAAACTTTATATCACATCTAGATCTGCACACTACATGCATCTTGTAACACATCAAACAAACTGTAAAAACTATTAATCATCATTGTTAACTCATTCCCCCCTGCACAATTAATTGGACTTGTCCAGTCTCTGATTTGGCAAGGTTCAAATGTGGCTTTAGGGGTGAATGGGTTAATGAAAATTTCACAACCTCCATTAACTCCTCATTAATATGATTACATTTAGATTAAAGCAAATACCCACATTTCTACAGTTTCTATGTATCATCTTCATAAGCTTTGATATGTTGCAAATTAAGTCAAATTGTCTATTAAATTAAACTTCATGAATACACTGTAGCTGTTATTAATCAAGATATAACAACACAATGTAATATTTTTCTGGGTAAACTAGAATGAGATTTTACGTCAAGAAGGTTGCATCGGTCGAACATGTCTTAGTTTGTAGTTGTACATTCCCGGAGCGAGGATGGTCAGTGCCTGATGTAACAGAATGGCAGTCATTCCCCAAATCCTCAACTCCCCGCCCAGGAAAACGGGGAGTGTGAAGCCAGCCCTGAACTGGGTGGAGCCAACATTACCTGGATCGCAGAGGGAAGCGAGAGTCCTGGTAAACACAGCATCCACCTGACAACGCAACAGTGTTGACATTTTAAGATTTTCATGATCGTATTACCTATTTAAACTTAATAGAAGATGGTGATACATAATTTAGCATCCTCAATACTCCAGGGGTTATGCTCACTTTCGGTCTCTACACCCCTAGAATATGTCATAGCAAAATCGAATGTCATGTACATGTATATGCCACCTTGTGGATGAGACGGGAAGACCAGTTTAATCCTTTGATGTACATCAAAAAAGTCTGTCGGTTGTCGCTCCTTTGTAATCTTCAAAAGATAATTAAGTATCAGCCTTGCGATTGGTCAGGCTTTTTTACCTGAGTTAGCCATGTACCTTCAATTTTGCTATGGCATACTCCAGGGGTGCAGAGAGCGAAAGTGAGCGTAACCCCCAGAGTATCGAGGGTGAGATAACAGGTGTGAAGGTATTACACTAAGAAAACATAATTATGGTTAATTATACTCTTCATATTACCATATATTACTGGTGATTAGCCCACGCCTGGTAATAAGCCCAACCCCACATTTCCATACTTTCTGTATAGGGTGTGTGCCAGGAAATAAGTATACCCCCCTTCAAGTTTTGGTATATATAAAAATACTTTTTTTACATCCAACAAAACACGTAAAGCCAACTAGCAGGATGTATAATGGTATATAATATTTTTTTTATTATATATCTGTTCAAATTGATGATCGAAGAATTTGAAAGGACCTCTATAATTCTTCTTTCATGTTCCCTCCTTGTTTTGACTGGATGATTTATTTACCTCAGATTCATCCAGTGCCAGTTTGGAGAGGTCCATATCTCCACAGAATCCCAAATATGGTGTCACTTGAATTTTCCCATCCTTCTAAAACAAAGCTATACTTTAAAACAATCCTTTCCTAAATCACATTGAATACTTTTGTATATGTACATGTCCAAAACAAAACAATTGAATGTTTATCAAATTAAAATCAATCGCCACATTTCCACATTTTAATGCATGCATGCTGATATGAGGGTATATTTATTACCAGTTTTAGTAGCACAATGATATGGCAGGCCCCTTTATGATTCTTTTGACATCAGAACTTCTTAGTTAAGACTGCATTAAGCACCATTACTCTTTATTGAAACTGAATAAATCTTGAGGATAAATATCACACCAACGTTAAAAATGTAATTGAGAGGTGGATGAAATTCTCACCTTACTAGGAACTTTGGGCATATTTCCCCACAAACTGACTCTCTCCATTGGAAGCCCCATCTCCTCAAATGTCTCCCTCAAGGCAGTCTGGGAAAGGTCAAGGTCGGTGGCATCTTTCATACCACCTGGAAAACTGACCACGTCACACAGATCGTCAGACAACACATTGTATTAAAGACTTAAGGGCACCATATTGAAGCTGACAGCTTATTTGATTCCAAGAATTGTGGATGTACAGTCAAATCTCGTTATCTCAAAGTCGACGGGATCATGGGAATATTTCAAGTTTTTTAGAGTTTTTATTACTAAAATTAAGAAGAGTTTTCGCAGGGACTGATGAAATACTTTGAATTAAACGGGGTCTTCCAGTTATAAGAGTTCGAGATAAAGAGATTTGACTGTACATGAACAAAAATTATGCTAAGAGGAATTTCATCATATCGGCATACATTGCTCAAAAAATGATAACTACTAAAACAGACCTACCTAAACCAAGCAAACAATTATGAAACAAGTAATTTCAATTTATATAAATCACTGCTGTTCGCCCCAATGTAAGTGCAAGATGTGTCTTGAAATTATGTGAGAGAAAACTGGAGTACCCGGAGAAAACCACATGGTTGGGCAGGCAATCAACCCCATACCTTTTTTACGTGTGATTGGGGAATCAAATACCTACCAACTTGGTGAACGGTGAATGCGTTATCCACTGCGCCACCTGACCACCCTGAGATTTACATGCAAATGTGTAGAGTCCAGTACCACTACCAGTTAGATTTGTTTGAAGATCTGATTTCAACAGGTTCTTAAGATTTTCAACTGTAAATATCATAATTTTCCTTTATCCACAATCTGTATTTCAAATATTTTTAGAATACATGTATTTTGTGAAGCTTAAATTCATTTGGATCATTAACCTGAATGTTGAGTTATCTCTCAGATATTTTCATATTTGCAAAATGATGCATAACACCAATATAATTATGTCTGAAGACTATTTTACAATACTCACACGTAACTGTCAAACCTCCCTCATTTTGACCAAGATTTACAAATCTCCCACGAAACTCCCAATCTGATTAAAATCATCTGTTATATGGTTTCTATAACGTACTACGCCTCAGGAGGAGCCATTTAACAGATGATTTTAATCAGATTGCGAAACTCCCTCATTCATGTCCAAACTCATACAAAATCTACATCCTCTGGTCAAATGATCTCCTAGTTACTGAAGGGTATATGCAATGATCATAATAGGTGTGTCTGAATCAAATGAATGCTTTTTGCAGTTATTTTGATACATAAAAAGGGAAAGATAAATTGAACATGGCAGTTTGAGTCACGTTTTGCACACTTTCTCCCTCATTCGAAATGTGGAATGAGTGACAACTTAATTAAGCTCCCTCATTGGAGGTTTCGGAGGTTGACACCTATGCCCATATGTACAGTGGCTATAATTTCACTAAATTCTAAACAATAATACATTACCAACAACACTTTGCTCCGATATGAAATACTCACCATACTTCTCCCTTGTGTACTGGAACTTTCCATGATCTGACCATGAACAGTAGCGATGGTTCGTTGTTGACGTAACATAGTGGTATCAAAACAGCAGCGTCTTTAGGATTTTCATGTTGGGGAACGACTCTTTTCACCGGTTTCACAGTTAGAAGTTTTCTCTGAACTCTGCATTTGTTTTCCTCTGAGAAAATATTCTGTGTATTCACGACTGTGGAAGTTCTATTATCAGAGTAGGACCTTAATTGATTTTTAGTATCATAACTACATTCCAAAAAACTGGATTTCTGTGATAAGGCACATCCTATAGCTAACATGTGCATTCTACATATATTTTTGGGTATTTTAAATGACGACATTTTCCCTGGAAATAAATCTGTTGTCAACGTTGATGTATGATGCCTGGAGTTACTTAATAATCTCTTTGGTGAAACGGTTGTAAAGATATTTTTCCATTTCTGATGTTGCCCTAACTTGGACTTGCTGAGGATATTTTTCCAAAGAGGGGAAACAAGTCTGTATGAAGAGCCAACAACATACATCTCGACTTATAATTAATACAACACTGAATTGAAAAAGCAAGTTATGGCAACTTAAGATCACTGCGAAAACATCATTTCACTGTTAATGATCAATAAGTCTTGATTCTATCGGCATTGGAAATTGTTTTGATTGGATGTCTTAAACTCTTCTGGATCAGATTTCATGAAGGAAGAAGTTCTTTTAGCAATGTCATCATCTGAAACATAGGAAGAACTTCAATATTAACAGCTTTAATCTGAGGAAGAGTACATCTCAACAAGACAAAATCCAAGAGTAGAAAACAGGACTCTGACAGACAGTGACTAAACACTTAACCCTGTAATTCTAACACCAAGGTAGCCATCGGCAAATGACCCAGTCTATATCAGCTAACTCGTTGTCTCTCCATTAACAAAGCTCAATGTTTTACCCAAAACCAGTATGAGACTCTGCCCCTTCTTTAGTAGGTATATTACAAAATGTCAATGACGGAAAATGTAACATTTGCGTGAGCTTCATAGGTAACATGTACACGTACACATAAACGTAAGATAAACCCCAGTCAAAATCTACCATAAAATCCCATAGACATAGCAAGTCAATTCACTTGCATAATTTTTGAAATCGTGCATTCATGAATTCCGTTTATGGAAGCCGCCATTTTGGATCCAATGGATGTAGAATAAATAATAATAAAAACAGTGTACAACGTCATCAGTCATTGTGACGTCATAATCGATATTTCCCGCGTATATGTTTTATCATGAGGATAAGCGGTGCGGTTTAGTAAGATGATACATGTTATAAAGAATATATGTCAGGCATCTTTGTTTTGTGATTCTGCTGTAGACTACACAATGTGTATTGTTCCATATGAAATATATGGTTTTTTTACACAGTCAAATAGGAAAATTCACAATCATTAAGTTTTTAATCAATTTCAGAATGAGATCAGGTTGTAAAAGTAACAACACCATTATCATAGAAAAGTATCATATTGTTTGTGTGTAAGAAATCCAGGCTTGGGTCCATGTAAAGGAGCAACATTACGCAAGATACATATGTCAGGCGTAGGCCGGTAATGAAGGTTGTATTTTTTTCCATTTTCGTATCTAGTCTACAAACTCGGGTTCGAACTGGCAATCCCGAGATTATCATGAAAAGCCAAATTGACCTATATCATATAGGGTATTCCTGTTCTAATCAAATAATTCTAACAGAAGACTTAAAAAAAGGAGGGAGGAATATAACAGAACTGGACTGGGTCGAACGTCGGCGACCAGATATAGCTTGATTGGTAGAGCGTTGTCTAGAGTTCTGAGATCAAAAAACCTTTGGTCAACTTTAACGATAAACATTAAGAGCTACTATAGCTAGCTCACCTGGTCAGTTTATATAATTAATAATAACTGGCCCGTGCAGCCAGACCCTTAAGAAAATTGATAAAAACATGCTTGTCCAGTTTTTCTACTGACCCTAGATTATTTATTTGTGCCTACACTAAAGTTTGTATTGGCATTTAGTGATAAGCACTGTTAATGCACGGAATTAGATGTAAGTCTGTGGTTAAAGTCAGAACTCCTGCTCCATATAAGTATAGTAAAAATATTTGCAAAAAAAACAAATTTGACTACCCTAAAAAAGTTCAAGCAGAAACAGGAAAAACACATTTTTTTTGGTCATGATTTTATATAAAGCTCTGTAAGTTTTTAGGGAAGGGTGCAGCGTATCCAAGGTCAACTTTGAGGTTAATGTATAGGAAGATGATATTTTACAAGATTTATAATATAATAAATGGTAGATACATTATACGTAGTAACACAGAATTAGATTAGATCTAAGTCTGTGGTAGTAACCTGTATTACTAACATCACATATTCTGCAATAAATTATCACATAATGATTTGATAAGAATTTACCTCTATATGTACATTTAGCATGTTGGGAATTCCTTCAAAAATGTCCGAACGTTCATAAAGGAAAGTGAAACCATAGGTGAAATGCATATAATAATAATACTTATTCGGTAAAAGCATGATACAGGTACAAATATCAAATATGATCACAGATTTCAATTGCATAATAATCACAGATTTATCACAGTATTTAGATTATCACATCAATGTTAATATCACAAATTTTGGAGCACTATAAATACAATGTATCTGCATGATGACTAAGCTTTAACCTAGGATATCCCATGAAAGTTGGGTGGCAGCTTATTTCCAATGCGGTCCTCTAGTAAGGATCTTTTAAAATTACTTAGACAACAAAAGGTCCTAAGAATTTGACAATATAAGATGATATAATTTCTCGTAATAATATATAGGCCTACATGTATATATGAATAGAATAAGTTGTATGATGATGTTATATTATTTCACCAAAATAAGATGTTATATTATTTGACAGTATAGGATGGAGTTGTGATTTAAGTATCATTAGAAAATAAGATTGCCTTCTAATGTCTAATGTTATCTCGGACAGTCCATGAAAGTCGAGGGAGTTTCTCATTTTTCCAACAACAGACTTTAAGTTTTTTGACAGATACGTATTGCTGGTATGTCATTAACAAGCAGATACAGATTATGAAAAAACCCGCCATACTCACTTGTCTTGTGCCCCTAATAATGCGTGTGTGTTTTACGATGATCACATAACAACACGTCATGAGTTTTCCCTACGTGTACTACGGGCTGCTACTAATTACAGCCCGGTACAGCCCGGTATAGCCCGGTACAGCCCGGTAGAGCCCGGCACAGTCCGGGACAGCCCGGTAGTGATATATTGATCGCCCGGGCGTTTGTCTCAACTTATACACCATAATGATTGTATTTTTTGCATTGTTTGTAACAGTATGAATGTAGTGATAAAAAAACGGTGAAAAAATCATTAAATTTGACCGAGTTATGGTTATTTGAAATTAGTAACATCGCAACAACCCGCTGGAGTAGAGCCAGACAGTTGTTATTTGTAATACAAACACCGCCCGGGCTTTCACCTGTGTAGTAAACTGTACTGAAGTAACTTATTCTCATATCTTTAGAAACGAAAAATACAAAACTGAAAGAAATATCAAAATATGTTCATAATTAGCCAAGTTATTGTAATTTGAAATTAACCAACACTGCAGGACTTGTTATTTACAATATTAGGACTGCCCGGGCGTTATCCTGTAAAGTTAATTTAATCTAAGTACTTTACTCGGGTTATTTAATGAATGAGAAACAAAACATAAAAGACAGTGTGAAAATATCTTCATCATAAAAAGATTTATGCTGACCTAACTTTAGATGCTTCGTTAACGCTGAAGCTCATATCACGCGACATGTGTTATTTGCAGCATTGGGACCGCCCGGGCTTTCATCTTTACCTTTCAGCCAATAAAAACTCTTTTATTTGTAAAGATGTGTGTGTAACTAACACAATGCTGAAAAAATGTTACAATATATTAATTATTGGCGGAGTGACAGTGTTTTGAAATTATAAATTCCTCAAGCATACGCTACTAATTGTTATTTGTAAAATCGGGAGCGCACGAGCTTTCATCTTACCATTAGCTAGACTTTTAAACTAACCAGAAAAAACGTTTAGCTGATATATATATAACACCAGTGAAAAATTAGGAGAATACGTTATTTTTGGCATAGTTATGTTGTTTTGAAATTAGTCACTTCTCTTACTGCTAAAAATTACGCATGCTATTTGTAATAACGGGTTTGCTCGGGCCTGAACCAGTTTCATTAGCTCTACCAATTCAGTTGTTAAAGTATATGTATGAAATTTTCACAATTCTGAAAAATGTGAGAGTATGTTAAAAATTGGCATAGTCATGGTGTTTTGAAATTAGTTACTTATCAACTGCTGAAATCATGCGTGTTATTTGTAATATTTGGTTCTCCCGGGCTCTCAGCTTTATCGTTAGCCAATAACAACTCTTGATAATTGTTTAGTTAACAAAATGCTGAAAATGTTAGAATTATTAGAGGCGTTTTGGTGTTTTTATATTAGATAATCTTCAGCCATAGGCTACAGCTGAAATCACGCTTTTTATTTGTAATATCGGGGTCGCCCGGGCGTTCATCTCATTCCTTTAGTTCCTGATACACAAATTGCACCGGTGAAAACAATTAGCCGGTGTTAATTATTGGCACAGTTATCTTGTTTTGAAATTAATTACTTCTCAACCATATATAGTACCGCTGGAAATCGTGTTATTTGTAATATCGGGTTCGCGCGAGCTTTCACCAGTTTCATTAGGTCAGCTAAAACTATTCAGTTGTTAAAGTATATATGAAATTAACTAAATTCTAAAAGAAAATTGTGAGTTTATGTTAAAAATTGACATAGTGTCGATGTTTTGAAATTAGTTACTCCTCAACCATAAATAGCTGCTAATTCACACATGTTATTTGTAATGTCTGGATCGCTGGGGCTTTCACCTGTATCGTTAGCTCAACTTAAACTC